AACTCAGTTAGAGGGGGCTGAGGCTTCTGGATACCAACATCTTCATCCTACTAACACAATAATATATAATATAGGTATATTTTTTGATTTCTGCTTCGTTACACAACAATTTTATCTGAGGAAATTAAAAAATACGTAACTCATTTTTTACGATTCAATTAACATTTGGGAATTTATCATTTCCGGACAGTGTTGGATAAGTCACTTTTAAAAAGTAATTAAGTTACTTTACTCGTTACTCAAATAAAATTGTAATGAAATTACTTTACTTTTCCAATAGAAAAGTAACTCATTACTTTGAAAAAAAAAAATTTTTTTTAATTTCTTGGCAATTATCTTCTGTTTGCAAATTGAACAAGCAAATTCTTTATAAAACATGTATAGTTAATAGGGTCGTATAAAACTTAGTCTTTCACACAAGCTATTCATAGGAAACCAATTAAAGGAATCAAATTAAATAATACATTTAATTAACTGTTTTCGTGATTTGTACGGTGCAATTAGACATTTCAAATGTCAAAACCATTGAAAACTGAATCGGGGAGAGTTAAAATTAAATATATACACATATTAGATTGGTAAACATAATAATACCCTCATTATACATATATTTTTTTCAATTCGCAATAGGCGTAGGTAGGTACTTAATAATTTGAAACTGTAATGCACTATTCTATAGAAATTACTTTTCAAAACTAATTTTTTTTTTTTTTTTTTTTTTTTTTTTTTTTTTTTTTTTTTTTTTTATTGAACAAACATAATATATTTACAATCTGTATTTACATGTGATACAATAAGTAAATGTGATGAAGATTAGGTTTACAGGAGGGGGAAGTCACCCAGTGGCGGCACCCCGTCAAAACTAATTTACATTACATTTTCGTTACTTGGAAATAATTCCAATGAAATTACTTAACGCGTTACTTTCGTTACGTAACTACCCAAAACTGTTTCCGGACATTCTTTATTATCTTTTTTCAATAAAATTGTATAGATATTTTTATTCATTTTTGGAGGTTACAGCTCAAGCATGTCAATCACTCTAAATTAATCAAAATTCTATTTTCACCTAGTCAATAATTGGCCACTGCGGATATAAAAAATAGGTATGGTTTTTGTATTTTTATTAATTTTACAACGGTGTCATTAAAGCAAATTATTTATTATTACCTATTTATATATTTTTGGACAGTTGAATTATTTATATTTACATTTTTTGACAATTTAATTGTTTATTTTGTATTATTACATTTTAGATTCTGAGTGAAACGATGAATGTATTGATTTTACAATGATGTGTGTTTTTTTTTTTAATTTTTTTTGTGTCTGTGTACACGATAAGTAGTCGAAATAATGCTTCGATTTTCAACTTCAGTATCTTGTTCGATTGGAAAGTGAATATCGTTGGTGCATTGGGGAGGTCAAAATTTAAATTTCCCAGTAGTTTTCAAAAGCGCTGGGAAAAACAAAAGAAAAATTAAGGGAAAACGGGAATTTTTACGCAAAATCGGCTTTCCAAAAAATCGATTTTGGTTTTTGGTGTAACTTTAAAACAAATGACCGTAGATACATGAAATTTTCAGTGGTTGATTATATTTGCATTTACCATACACGATAACATTTTCAAAATATTTTGATTTATATTGAACTGTTTAGGGACATTTTCAGTTTCCAATTTTATTAGTTTTTTTTTTTATGAATATCAATAAAAATTTATTTGTTGAGTAAAAATACTTGAAAATTTAATACAAGGCTCCTACTATATTGTTTCAAAGACAGATGAAAAATATTAAAAATCGTTAGCCACAGTTTTTTTTTTTAAGCATTTAAAGTTCAAAAAATGACAAAATATGGGAAAGTCACGAAAATTTGCAAATTATTTCGAGTTAGAAATTCATAAAAATTTTTCTTTTTAAATCTAAGATATGAAAATGTAATACAAGATTCCTTATAACTTATATTTTTAAGTATTTTTATAAGTTATAAGATTTCCTACATTTATCAAAAAAAAAAATTCTATAAGAAAGTCAAATTAAATTTTTATGAGCGTTTGAAATTCAAATTTTTACAACATTGGATATTCACTCGATTTCTGATGTGGCGAATTCCGTATTTTGTTGTAATTCAAAATCCAATTACTGTAGATACATGAAAATTTCACTGAATGTTTATATTAGCATTTCCTATACACCATACAATTTTGAAAATATTTTGACTCTTTTTGAGCCGTTTACGGACATTTTCAGTTTTCAATTTTTTTAGTTTTTTTCTTCTATAAATATTAATAAAGTTTTATCTGTTGGGCCAAAAAGTGTGAAAAATTAATACAAGGCTCCTGATATATTGTTACAATAGCAATTGAAAAATATTAAAAATACATAGGCACAATTTTTTTTTATAAGCATTTAAAGATCGCATTTTGACAAAATTTATCAAAATCTCGAAAATTATCAATCATCGTAATTAATAAATTATAAAATGTTCAGTTTTTATAGCTAAGGATTGAAAATTTAAAAAAAAGATTCTCATAAATAGTTCATACTGTAGCCAAAAAATCTAAAAAATATATGAGCACAGTTATTTTTTACAGACATTTTAAGTTTAAATTTGGGACGAAATTACATAATCAAAAACCTAGCATACCTATTTTAATTATTTTGTTGTGAGTGTATAATACTATTCGTGGGTACTTGAAACTTCTAAAGTACCTACACTATATTATATATCTATGATAGTATCAGGGTTTGTTATTGATGTATAACGTGTTATAAGTACCTAATGGATATTGTGATATGATTAATTTGGAATTTATTATAGGTCAATTTTTTTTTTAATACCATAGATATGTATATAATATGTCTTAAACCTAGACTGACATACCGTCTTCGCTCAGAATCGTTTTTCTTATACAATGATATTGTATCATTGGATTCAAATTTAATACCATCCATTATACAGTGACCCACTTGTAACCTACTGTACAGCAGAGCGACATCCACTTACCCACCTTTTTAAATATTCTCGTTCTACAAATTATAAGTTGTATTTTGGATTCATGGTGTAGCGACTGTTTTTTTAACTAGATAAAAACGAGGTAATCTTATTTTTTATCTAGATACATTTTTCATTAAAATATTAAATTATCTGTTATTTTATCTAGATAATTTTAATGTTATCTGTGCAATATACTGGTCATAGATACTTATATTGGTGCAAATTGCATAAGTAGCTCAAATGATCCAAAACATTTTAAACACTAAATTTAGCATACAAATGCTAATATAAATAATATTTAGTAAAAAATTAACGTTACTAGAATTATTATTTTTCAATTTAATAATTTAGGTGTTTTAATTATTTTTAGATTATTGTTTTCAGAACAGCGCTTCTCTATAATAAACAAATTACGTAGCGATAATAATAAGATGAATTTAAATTTTAAATCCACCTTGGTATATACTATTGTTTATTATAGGTACTTTTTATTATGCACGTATTGCTTCTAGTTAATATTATATACAATTATTAAGAAAATAAAAACCATTCCACTAATAGCATTGATTCATAGACCTTATACAGTTATAATGGTACAGTGTTCTCTCGGTAACTCGAAGCTCACGGGGGAAAAAATATACTTAAAAATTTCGAGTTATCAAAATCTTAATGTTTGATTGTTATTTGAAGAGGAATTTTCTTTCATTTTTTTTTAAATTTTATTTCGAGTTATCGAGCTTCGAGTTACCGAGAGTACACTGTATACGATCTATGCATTGATTATAAATAGTTCAATAAATATACATATTATAATTTATAGGTATATTACCTAGTGCGATTTTTTATTATCAATACAATAGTACCAGACTGTATTTTGACCTATATAATATTAAATTTAATTAAGATAAACACGATTTTATTATTATAATAAATCAATAGTTAGATCATACAACAATAAGTCATCGACGTGTAATTAAAGCACAACTGTTAAACGTATACTGATTATATTAATATTATTGTTATCAGGTAATTTATGGAAATTAACAAATTAAAAACAAAATTCAATGTAAATAGCATTTTTAATTATCGACGCATAATTGTATAATGTATGACGAGTCATAATTCATAAAAAAATAAAGCCTATATGAATCATATTTAAAAACACATGTTTTCATTTGAATTTTAAAAGTTACCCTTAAAATATCCCATTTTTAATCAATAATAAAAATAATTAATATCAAATTAGTTTAAGATATAATATGATTCAAAAAGGTTTTCACATAGATAATTTTTTCTAATAATTTAAATATGTATTATTAATAAAATAAGAATAATTATATCAAAATAATATCACATCATATATCATGCTTGTAAATTCCTAATCATACTTTTACTTTGCAGAGATCGACTATGCGGATGTGAGCTGCGGAGGCTGCCACTATTCATAACACGGACATGGTCGCGGGCATACTTTAGAGTCCAAGAATTTAAACGTTTTCTTTTAATTGAACAAGGTCGGGGTCTGATTCACAAAATGACTGACGATAAAAAATGGGAAATATTAATTTGTATTAAAATTTACAAACCTAACAATCTGAATTCAATATTTTTTTCAATTTAGATTTTACTTTTAAGAGCACGTTGCACCGACATATACTGTCTCCGTCTTACAAGTGCGTAACATACTAACATGACAAACTTTACGCCGAGTAGATCACGTTTAGATACGTTAGTTTACAAATTATAGAGTGAATTTATTGATATATTGTATATTTTATAATTTTATAATTGTCTATGACATTGTCTAAATAATAATCTTAAATTTAAATTATATATAAGAGGTATATTCACTCCAATTTTTAAACTAACGGAACTAAACGTGATCTGATGAGCTTAAAATTTGACATGTTACACACTAGGAAGACGGAGAAAACAAATATCGGTGTAAAGTCCTCTTAAAAATACTTTGGCAGGCCAGATTTGGCCCCGCAGGCCGTACTTGGTCATCACCACTCTAGGCAGACAAAGTGGCCTTCAGCCGCAGCCGCTTCACACAAACATCCGTTGTCATGGGCGTACTGCAAACAGTCGAGGTGGCCACCAGCTGCAGCCACCTCGCACGTCGTGTAGGCCCACAGACAGCCATTTTTATGGGCATACTGTAAACAGTCAAAGTGGCCTCCAGCTGCGGCCACCTCGCAAGTCCTGTAATCCCAAGGACAGCCATTGTCGTGGGCGTACTGCAGACAGTCGAGGTGGCCGCCAGCCGCAGCCGCCTCACACGTCGTGAAGTTCCACTGACATCCGTTGTCGTGAGCGTACTGTAGACAGTCGAAGTGGCCACCGGCTGCAGCCGCCTCGCAAGTCGTGTAGGCCCACAGGCAGCCGTTTTCGTGGGCGTACTGTAGACAGTCGAGGTGGCCACCGGCTGCGACCACCTCACACGTTATGTAATCCCACGGACATCCGTTGTCGTGGGCGTACTGTAGACAGTCGAGGTGGCCACCAGCCGCAGCCGCTTCGCACGTCGTGTAGTCCCACGGACAGCCGTTTTCGTGGGCGTAGCGCAGGCATGCCAACTGACCGTTGGCCGCGGCTTTGCAACACACCTCAACATCCCACGGACAGCCACGGTCACATGCGTACTTCAGACAGTCCAGCTGTCCGTGGGCTGCGGACAGGACACATATCGCACGTGTCCACGGGAACCCGCGGCCTTCTGCAAACGCCAAGCACCGGACGTGTCCACTTGTTGCGGCCTCTTCACTGATTGATTGATGGGCCGCAATAAACATTTGATCGTCATTGGAAACTGTGGAATGGAAAAAAAACAAAACAAAATTATAATATATTAAACGATGTGGTGATATTATTGTGTGATACCTAATCGGGAAAAAAAAAAAACACTAGGAAAAAATTTACCAACATTCTTATTCATACAGTAGGTAATTCTACAGTAGTTTTAGTGGATAATGTATGAAAGGCATGTCCATATAATATATTCGTCATCCAAAGGTGGGCAATTAACTTAACTAGTTAATCATTTTTGTTTTTAACTTATTAACTTATTAAGTTAAAATTTGTAATGTTCTAACTTAACTTTTTATAGTTAATATCATTGCCGTGCAGTTAAGTTAATTTTATTTTCGTGTCATGCGAAACCAGCTAGACAATACTGATTCGTATTGACTTTTTTCGATTTTGGTATTGTATTTTATAATTGTATATTATAATAACCTAATTTTTTACAACGTGTTAAACGTTTTGGTGAATATTTGTGTGAATCAACATACTGGGCCAGTTTAAGACATAAATTGTAACTTGAAAAAAATGTACTTCTTTTAACTGAGTTAATTGTATTTTCTATCTTAACTTTAAACTTACCTAGTTAATTTTTTTGTTAACTTTTAACTTTTAACTGAAGGAAATTGAATTGAATTAACTTAACTTGCCACAGTTAATTATTTTCATTAACTTAAACATTGTTATTGTTATCTGCCATAATAACCTGTATATTTTGATCCTATATTTGCTCATAAGCATAACATAAGAAGAAAGAGGTGTAAATAAAATATTATATAGTTGTAATAGCATAATTATAATAATTAAAAATTGTATAGATAGGTAGTAGGTACTATCCTACTTTTGTATTTAATATTTCAGACTTTTTTAATTAATTTACTTTTTCTTATAATGTGACACTTTTTGGCCTTTATCAAGACTAGTGTTGGACTAGTTTTCCTAGTGTAGGACTTTTTTTCCTTGATTCGTTATAATACTAGTGCATTATACATGCACTATACATAAGTAACGGACATTGGGGTGTATAAATGGGGCCGATGTAATACAGGGCGATTTTTTAAACATGCTCACCCTCATTTTTTTCGCTTATAGCATTCAAATTCTGGTTTATAGAATTTTTAAGTTTACATACAGTCCATATATTAAAATTCTTGATATTTTTTGTACTACTTAATAAGGAATGTCCTGTGATGATACAAACATCTATTTTTCCACTTGAGAACCCCCACGTTCACTGCAAATTATTTAGAGGGTAATTTTCTTGAAAATGTTGATGTAGGTTTCTAAATCGAAATTCTAATACGTAGTTTCTGAGTTCTTAAAATGTTTATACTAAAGATAATAATCTTTAAATGCGGTTTTAAAATATCTGATGTATAATTAAAAGTGAAAAAGTTAGGTTCCTATTTGACAAACAGAAGTTTGCATTGTCATATGATCATTTTTAAATGGTGCGAACAATTTCAAGTATTTAAAAATTCCGAAAATCATAAATTAAATATAATTTAAGCATAAAAGTAGGGTGAGCTTGCTAAAAAAATCGCAATGTGTATTAGGATATTATATATTTCCTTACAGCCGCTTTATATTGGGTCAGTCCATATCATGTACAGTGTACCAGCGATGTCATATATCTAATATTTACCGTTATAGTCAGCATTTTCTGCCCTAAGGTAGAGTATCAACAATAGGCAACATGGTCTAACGCTTATTTCCAACGTCTCCAACTCGTCGTAGGCTGACCTCTCTTCCCAATTGCACCAGTTGTATGCCAGCTTTGTTAAAGAAAACATTTTTAGTTCAACTGAAAAAATTCATTATATTTTATACTCAAGTTATAAAAGGTTTCATGCCCATACAAATGTACACACAAAAAATTTGAAAATTGAATGATGTATATAAAACGAAAAAATAAACATAAAATGAAAATTTAAAGTATTTAAGGTTATTGGTTTTTAGTTACAAAAAACTAAATTAATTTTGACTAAAACGTGTTTTCCTTATTTTAGATTCTGAGTGGAACAATGAATGTATTGATTTTACAATGATGTGTGTGTTTTTTTTTTATTTTTATTTATTTTACTTTTTTTTTTTGTCTGTCATCACGGTTTATGGCAGTAAAACTGCTTCGATGTTCTTCAACAATATCTTGTTCGATGAGAAAGTGAATCTAGTTAGTGCGTTCGGGAGGTCAAATTTTAAAATTCCCAATGATTTTCAAAAGCGACGGGAAAAACAACATAAAAATTAAGGAAAACGGGAATTTTTACGCAAAATCGATTTTGGTTTTTGGTTTAACTCTAAAACAAATGAACTTATATAAATTAAATTTTTACCGGTGGTTTATATTTTCATTGTCTATACACCATATAAATTTGAAAATATTTTGATTCTTTTTGAGCTTTTTACGGACATTGTAAGTTTTTGATTTTTTTTTTCTATAAATATCAATAAAATGTTATTTGTTTGGTAAAAAACCGTGAAAATGTAATGCAAGGCTCCTGATATATTGTAACGATAGCGGCTGAGAACTATTACAAATAAATAGGCAACATTTTTTGATAAGGATTTAAAGTTCAAATTTATCATATTTAAAATTTAATAATTATTTTGTAGTTAATAATTTATAAAATTTTCAACTTTTATAGCTAAAGATTGAAAATTTAAATCAAGATTCCATGTAAATAGCTTATACCTATTATATAGACTACTTTATTCACAATAATATCATAAAATATACTTGGTAATATTATAGGCTGACTGACCGTTTTCGCTCAGAATCGTTTTTCTTATATAATGATATTATATCATTGAATTCAAATTTAACACCATCCATTACAGAGACCCACTTGTAACCTACTCTACAGCAGAGCGACTTTTTACATTTGACCTCCAAAAGTACCAACTAGAATCAATTTCCCATCAGAAAAGATGCTGAAGTTAAAAATCAAAGCATTATTTCTAATAGAAAAAATATTCACCGAAAACACCGCACATCATTGTAAAATCAACACATTCAATGCTCCTCTTTGAATCTAACAGTACAAACAACAGTAAAACTAGGTATATAACAAATAATATTATAGTATTCTATCATTATCAACACTTATGTTCTAGTAACAATATTTTTTCAGTACCTATTAACTTACTACCTATTTAGTGGCCTTTATTCAAGCCAGGGGTGGCTTGGATGTTCAAATCTCCCCCCCCCCCCCTAAAAATGTATTATTTATGTTCGAAAACTGTAAAGAACTTGGTTTAATACTTAAATTTATACTTAAACGTTAAACCCCTCCCCTCCATTTCATTATCCTGGCTACGTCACCGTACACTAATTACCTATTAAAATTCTTTAGTATTCGAAGTAATCCGAGTAATTAATCTAGTAAAAATAATTTGTTGTGGTTGTGAGTAGTATTGTAGTTTGGGGATTTTTTCTGCAATTCGTACAGACAAACGCCCTCACAAACGGTCAGTCTACCCAAGCTTCAATTTCAACAATTATTATAATAATTTATTTTATTTTTTAAGTAAAAAACAAAATCTACCAGGATAATAATATACCTGACGAGATTTACCGAAGTAGTAAACATTTTAATATCAGAATAATAATATAACAATATTAAAATACGCTTGGATATAAATGGAATATTAATCTCCCAAAATTGTTCAAATATGTAAATAAGTTTAATGATCAAATTAAACAGTACACTATTAAACTAACATTTGGTATGTTGTACGTGTTGAATTATAAAAATAAAATACATGAAATTCCAGTGGGCACGGCTGGACATAAAACAACAATAATTTTATCTATAACAAAGTCATAGTATACAGGGTGTTTCTGAAATGGATGAGGTAACTAGTATAGGCGTACTCAGTGTGATGGCCCAATGAAGATTTTTTTTTCTATCTTCAAAATCTGGGTTATACAAATTATTATTAGAACATTATATGTATCTTAAATGTAAAAATAAATGGTCTAGTTGTATTTTTTGCAAAATTCTCATACGAATCGAGGTGTCACATCATTTTAGCGCTTGTCGCTCGTTTTTCACGCTCGAATCGCCGACTAAAAAGAAACTGTGTGGTACATCGATTTGTATGAGAACTCTACAAGATAAACCGTGGTGATAGTTATTTGTTGTCATTTAAAATACATGATTAATTAAAACATTATTTTACTTTGTCAACTAATAAAAATGATAAAATAATAACAAAATTAGGGTTAACAAAGTTTTAAATGATCGAATTTACTGCATACGAAGGAACTACAGTGTTCGGAAAGAACATAGATAAATAGATTCATGAACGTACATATTTAGTGAAGGATACGTGAACGTCACTCATCTTTTTCGAATAGAACGTGGACATGAACGACTTTTATACATATTATACTTAACGAATTTCAACGATTTGTAAGACGTTTAAATTATTTATATTTTATTATTTAATAAGTATTGATTGATAATAGTATTATGATATTATATAATATTTTATTACGAATTATAAAAATAAAATACATGCGATTCCAGTGGGCACGCTTGGACATCAAACAACAATAATATTATAATTTCCACGATTTTGTATTCGTATTTAAACGATACATAAAAATGTAATTAAATTAATTAAAATAAAGCATTTTTATTTTCAAAGAACGTGAAACTTGAACGTGTTGATTTGAAAAATATATGAATTTGAACCTGAACGAGTTCCTTTTTTAATCACTGAACGTGAACGAATTCGTACAAATGCGTATACTCACGTGAAAAATAATATTGGCCTGCAGGTTAGCTGATTTTATTTATTGAAACTATATTGAAGATGTGAAATATCGCGTACAGGCGCTGATACCGGCGTGCTGATGGCCTGCGTACTGTGCTGAAACTGCTTCTCCGACAGTCTGACGGCTAGACGGAAAGGTACTTGGTACCTACCTTGTAGAGTCTACCTTGTAGGGTTGCCAGATAGGTAAGTGAGAGTACCGCCAATAGAGAGCGTTAAGGTCGCCTAAAATATAAAAGGTACAATATTTCTGAAATAGCCCAAAAACACCAAACATTTTGCAGCACTGCCCAAAAATTAGCCAAAAAAAAAAGAATGGAAAAATGTAGACTACTTCAGTGGCGATAGTTTGATCGTAATCCACAAATTCGTTAAAATAGATCGGTGACAAATTAAAATAGTGAACGGTTACTAGTTAGTAGGTACCTGCTTGGAAGGTATAGAGCAGAATTTATATTTGATATCAATCTACATTGCTGAGAACCAAAAATCAAAATATACCATTAGAGCAGCTAGCTCAGCTCAGCCCGTGGACCAAGCCCGGATTAAAGGCGGGGGCCAAGGGGGCACATTGATTAAAGCTGGGGGGGATCTCTATCTCCAAAATATTTGTTTTTAACGGGTCCAATTGAGTTTTCAAAAAAAAAAATAAAATAATTTAAGTATTTAGATAAATTATTGTTAATAATTATAAAATAAAATTGTTCTCAATTTTATAGCACGAAAAATTACTATAAATAATGAACTAAGTTCGTCAACAATTTTTTTTTTTTTTTTGAGCATTTTAGATTACCGATTTAACTATTTAAGTATTTAAAAAGGTAGTAGGAAATAGTAGTATTTAAATAGGTATAAGGAAAAATTATTTAACTCTTGTAAATTAGGTATTTTATTTTAAAGTATTAATGCATATTATTCTAAACTTTAGAGGAACATAGTTAATAACTTAGTAAACAAAATTGATCATTTTCCTGTCAAAAGGTTCAGATAAAAGGTTTACCAGAATCCATCAAAAATATAGTGGTTACCATTTGAAAAAATAAAGTCGATTTTATTATTATTTTATTTACTGCGTGTATAAACATTTTGAAAATGTTATAAAAAAATTGCCTGTTAAAAATAATGAAACATACAACACCTTATATATATATTTTTTTGTATAATAAACAATTATACAATAATATAAAGTTGTTAATATTTAATGATTATTACATATTATTATGCAGTATTCTGTAATTTTATGCAATTATTTTGAAGTTAAAGGTGAAAGAAGTGTATGTTGACCCGGGGCCTAATTGATCCTTAATCTGGGCTTGCCATGGACCGTGGTATCTGGTACCATGGACTCTAGATTATTATGAAAATTGGATATACCTATTGGACAAGTGGATTGATTAATAAATAAACTGTGTCACCGTTCCATAACCACGATTAAAATTTAAAGATATATACCTAACTGCAGTGCCGCAGTGGGAGTGATAAGCAAACAGAATGGCGTATCAAAATTATTAAAATAATAGAAATCAAAATCAAATTTTTTTGTGTTTTAGACACGGTTATGGATTGATAATGGTGATGAGTACATAGCCGTGGTTTTAAGTTGAACATTTTTTAAAAGAAAAAAAAATCAACATACAATTATTGCCCTAAATTGGGCCTAAACTAAGTCTAAACACGCCAATTTGGAATTGTTAAATCGCCCAGTAGGTGGTAGCCGGTAGGTAGGTATTAGGTAACCCGACAAGATATCATTTTTGTTGGTATTTGCCATTTGGTCAATATAAATATAACCCAATTGGCGATAAACCACCCAATCCGGATACCCTGCAGCTAGTACTTATATATTACCTACTATTGAGTAAGTAATAGCAGGGGCGTACGCAGGATTTTTCAATGGGGGGGGGGGGGCTTAAAAATTAGTTACAATTTTATTTTTATTTTTTCCTGCAGTCTAATAATTTTAGACGTTTATTTCAGGTATTTTAAAATGTTTGTAACCTCTCAACTT